GGTGACACAGCATGCAATTTCTTGACGTGAAAGCTCAGGTGTTGTTATGACGTCATAAATATTGTGACAATAAATTTGCTTCCGCTTGGTTGCTTGTGAAAGAGCCAAAGCACACAGGCGTGTAAGTGTCTGGGTGTGCGTGTATGCTTGTGGATATGCATGCATGGGTCTGCATTTGCATGTGTTTGTATTTTGTGTTTAAGCTTTTCTGTTTTGGAATTTTCATTGCCATAGATGGGAATAGCGACAATGATAATAATAATGATAAAAAATATCTAACTATAACAGCAACGGCTGTAACATTTAGTGTTATCGTTATCATTAGTGTAATGACAATGATAATGATAACAATGGAATGAGGACAATCAAAGGAAGAGCAGAGAGAAAAGAAAACTATGAAGAATTAGTAAAAAAAGAAACAAAGACGAAGACGAAGATATAAAAAATGAAAGGAGAAAGAAGAAAAAAACAAGAAAAATAAAGGAAAAAGAAGCAGAAATGAAGCAAAAGGAAGAAGCAGAAATGAAGCAAAAGGTAGAAGAAGGAAAAAAAAATGAAAGAGAAAAAAAATATGAAAAGAACAGAAGAAAGAGAAAGGAAACGAGAGATTCCCCGTCAATCTTACGCGGTTTAAAGGAAACCTCATAACACCAGAGGCTTCAGCTTGATTTATGAAACTGATAAAGAATCGAATTCAACAGTAACTGATAAACATTTTTTTATGACATTTTAAAAGCCTGTTTGTTAAATCTGTACGACCCCCGACCCAATGGGTATTCACTATACGGACATGCATATGTGCAATAACAAAAGGCATATCTCTCAGTCTAGATATGCATAACTACGGGGCAGACAGATAGATAAATCGCTGTCTATTGGATGGATAGACAAATGTGCATTTATTTCTGCGTGTATGCATGTCTGTAGATATGAATATTCATTAGGTCGCGCCACGCACAATTTCATCAAACTAGCTCGCGCATCGCCTCATCTATTTTTATTTATTATTTATTTATCTATTATCAATATTTATTTATTTATTTATTATTATTATTTAGGGGGGGGGGATAATGCTCAGTTGGTAGTATTATAGGATTTTTTTTTTTTTTTTTTTGATGGCCCGCTATCTTTCTGTTGACATTTCTTTTACTTTTTTTCGTTGTTTTCGGGGCACCATGATGTTATTGTCGTCCTTTATCGTCGGGTTTACCTAAACCCTATATTTTTTAATTTCTATATTTTATTTCTTTATGACTTAGGAGATTCATCGTATGTACTCGCTCTCTCCCTCCCTCCTTTCTTTCTTTCTTTTCTCTCTCTCTCTCTCTCTCTCCGCTCTCTCTCTCTCTCTCTCTCTCTCTCTCTCTCTCTCTCTCTCTCTCTCTCTCTCTCTCTTCGTCTCTCTCTCTCTCTCCTCTCTCTCTCTCTCTCTCTCTCTCTCTCTCTCTCTCTCTCTCTCTCTCTCTCTTCTCTCTCTCTCTCTCTCTCTCTCTCTCTCCCTCCCTCCCTCCCTCCCTCCCTCCCTCCCTCCCTCTCTCTCTCTCTCTCTCTTCTCTCTCTCTTCTCTCTCTCTCTCTTCCCTCTGTGTCTCCCTTCCTCCCTCCTGATTCATCTCACAACGCACGTTTATTTTCGGTTTTTTTCCTCTATTTAATTACTTTCTATACGTCATCCTCCTTTTTAAAACTTGGGAGATTCATCCTTCGTACTCTCCCCCCCTCTCTCTCTCTGCGGTCTCTCTCTCCCTCTCGCTCCCTCCTCCCCCTCTCGTTCCTCTCCCTCCCTCCCTCCTTTTCTCCCCTCCATCTCTCCCTCTCCCCCATCCCTTCTCTCCCTCCCCCCCTCCCCCCCCCCGCCCCTCCCCCCCCCCCCCCCCCCTCCCCCTCCTCCCGTCCCCCCCCCGCCTCCCCCACATCCCATCCTCCCTCCCTCCCTCCCTCCCTCTCTCGCTCCTCCTAATCGCCCCCCCCCTCCTCTCTCCCTCCCTACCATACCCCACACCTCTCCTCTCCTCATCTCTACTACTCATCTA